TGTTATTTTTAATTAAAATTTCCAAGAATTTTTTAAATTTGAAAATTTGAGAAATGAAAAGGTAAAAAATAAAAATGCAAATAAATTAAAATGATAATGACTATGTAATATTAAAATCCAAACTATATAAAAAGTCAGTTGTAATATCTAAAATGAATTAAAAACTGTATTATTCTGTTATTTTAGTGTGTATTTATTAGATATATTTAACAATTAGGTAGTATTTGCCATCAAAAGTAAAACAAACCATAATAATATGGATCTATATTAAAACACAATTCAAGAACTAAGACTGAATTCTTGTAAGAATGTCTGATGATGACCTCTTGAAAGTTGAAACATGTAGCCAAACACCTGTGCACAATAAATAAACAGTGATACATTAGTACTGATTTGTCTTTGGTTTACATCTGTACATATTATTGTTGTGCAGATGGCCCCATTTGCGATATCATGACACACAACAGGTTGCTTGGTTGTAAATGCAGGTGCACAGAAAAATCCACTATACCTCCTGAGATTACCTTCAAATTACTGCAGCCCTTCTTTCCCCCTATAAACATTGGTAGAGCACTCTTAATGCCACCTATTGGTAGAAATGCTATACTAAACGATTAATATTAAGGCAGTCTCTTTGGGTGTGGGCATTTTTAATGCAGGTCTACCAGGTCAATCAAATTGGCTCATGATGTGCAAAGGGTTAAAGTTCAAAGAGGGGGCTAAAAGTGACCTCTCTTTATGTGGTATGGAGACAGTCTGAGCATGTCTGAGTCTTATTCCATTCATACTCACATGCCTATGCATGGATAGTTACACACCTTTCAAAACCTAATACAATTTTTATGATCACAATGGAATCTCCACTTTTAATGAATTTACAACAAAAAGTACCATCATCCAAAATTTAAACCTTGAAAACAGTATAGTTTTCTGCCAATATGATAAATTGAGTTGCATGGTGGATACTTTCTGAAAAGAGCTGATAATATTGCATATTTTATCTGTTCCTTTATTCTTTGAACACAACTAAAAATTTTCCCAAATAGCCTAACGGTGCATCCCCGTTCCTTTGCTTCGGAGGCTGTTCTTGCAGCATCTGTTCTCCGGCCATTACAACTGCTCCCTTCTTAAGACCAACTCGTTTCAAGCAGTTTCCTTTCAGCTCGCCAGAAGATCCAGTTGTATCCCACTCATTCGTCTCACATTCAATCTTTCTCGGGAGGCCAGTTCTTTTACATTACCGGTTCCTCCTCTACTTGAGGTCTCTTTCCGTTTTGGAGGGGGTCATGTTGGCGTCCATTCTGTCCTGATGGGTCTGGAACATTTCTTGCAGCTGCACTCTGTCGGCATCTGCTTTTACTTGGTTAGATCTTATGTTGGCGTCCATTCTTGCCAGCACTTCCATCACCTGCTGCATCTCCATTTTGTTGCAGGAGAGTACTCGATGCACAATAATTAGTGTGTGGCGTGTTTAAGTTCGTTAACAATTCTGACACCAAATGTAACGTGTCTTGAGTTCGAATCTCGTTGGTCACGTGTGTAAGTTCATATCCCACTTCTGACACCAGTGTAACGTGTCTTGAGTTTGAATCTTGTAGGTCACGTGTGTAAGTCCAATCCCACTTCTGACACCAGTGTAACGTGTTTCATTACTGAAGACGCCGTTCGGATTGTTAACTGGTTTATTTAACAACCTACAAGTAACGGCTACAATTAATTATCACACAGTTGCAGGGTTTCACACTTTATAACCCTAATCATATTAATCTGTTCACTCTATTGTCAGTAGTCAACACGTTTTCACAGTACGGGAGCTATATAAGTCCAACTGTATCACACATTCCCAATTACGCAATTACACACACACGTCCGGTACTTCTTTCTGTGACGGCCGCTATCTTTCGACTATACTCGTAGGCTGCTGCCTTGAGAACTGTTGATCACACACTCGCTCTCGCTTGCTGCTCAGCTGGCTTAT